TTTCCACCTAAAATTTTCACTTTGAAGTTAATGAATTATTTTCTTCTCAAAAGTAGTTTTAGAAAACTGAGAAACGAAAGTGTTCTTTTTAAAATTTTAAGAATCAAAGTGCAAAAAACTGATTTTTTAGAGTGTTGCTGGAACAATTTCCTAGTCTAAGAACGTTTTTGTTTGGGCTGGTGCTGTGACGTAGCAGGTAAAGCCACTGTCTACAGTGTTTGCATCCCATATGGGCACTGGGTTTGAGTCCAAGCTGCTATACTTCCAATCCAGCTCTCTGCTATGGCCTGGGAAAGCAATGGAAGATGGGCCAAGTCCTTGGGCCCCTGTACCTACATGGGAGACCTGGAAGAAGCTCCTGGCTCCTGGCTTTAGATCAGCACAGCTCCGGCCATTGTGGCCAATTGAGGAGTGAACCAGCGGATGGAAGACCTCTCTCTCTGTCTCTCTCTCTCTTTTCCTCTCTTTCCCTCTCTCTGTAACTCTGACTTTCAAATAAATAAATAAATCTTTTTTTAAAAAAAGAAAGTTTTGTTTATAATGTGTTACTCATAAATGTTACTTGCATTGATAAATTAACAGGTGTTTTTTAAAATCAATTTTAATGGTTATTTTTTCCTTGGGATTTTTTTTTTGTGTGTGTGTGTGTGTGTGTGAAAGATTTTATTTATTTATTTGAGAGGTAGAGTTATAGACAGTGAGAGGGCGAGACAGAGAGAGAGGTCTTCCTTCTGTTTGTTCACTCCCCAGATGGCTGCAACGGCTGGAGCTGCACCAATCCGAAGCCAGGAGCCAGAAGCTTCTTCCGGGTCTTTCACATGGTTGCAGGGGCCCTAGGACTTGGGCCATCTTCTGCTGCTTTCCCAGGCCATAGCAGAGAGCTGGATTGGAAGAGGAGCAGTCGGGACTAGATCCGGCCCATATGGCATGCGGGCGCTGCAGGCAGAGGATTAAACTACTGTGCCATGGCGCCAGCCCCAACAATAGTTATTCTATTGTGATATCATTATTTAATTATGTGTAATTATTAAGTACTGAAAAACTGTCTTCCGAATGCTGAAATTGTCTAACTTGATAAGACAACAAAAATTTTTCTTCCTGTAGTTATCTGGAATATGGATTCATTGAAGGAAATCTATGCCATTGCTTAGATAATGCCCATTGCTCAGGAACTATTTTATTTAAATATGCTTTTAATAACCTTTAATATTTTAAATTTAAATTATAGTCACTTTCTGGGATTAGGCATCTAGCAGTGGATAAGGCATGGTTCCTGCAATTGTGAAGCTTACCCAGGAATGAAAAAAGTCTTTCAGCAGATAACTGTGAATTAGTAAGTTTACCTAAATTGCTGTGGGATCACAGATGGGGGAATAATTAATTAACCTTGTTGGGGAGAGGAGAGGATAAAGAAACTCTGCGCTTCCTTTATGAAATCAGGATCTTCGAGTGAAGATTCTAATGTTTTACTGCTTGAGATTGCACATGCCTTCTGCTGGGACCCCTTTCTTCCCTTCCCTTCCTCTCCACGTAAATTGTTTTTTTTACAATGGCCTTACCTTTGGTTTCTAGCAACTAACATTAGAAAAGTTGGGAAAATGAGTGATTCTGTAGGGAACAATAAATGTGAGTGTCAAGATTTGGGCTTATAGGGATTCATTAATGCCCAGTCTTGGAGCAGGATATGATTTTGTAATTTCTTCAAGGGAACTGGCTGGGTTTTTTTTTTTTTTTTTTATTCTGAAGTTCCAGAGGAGTGGCTATCTGAGAGCAAGGATTTGAAAGATTGAAAGATAAGTAGAATATACCTAGTGGGGAAAAGGCATCCTGGGCAGAGTTAGAAACTGATACTGACTTAGAGACTTCTAGGGTGGGGGATGGAGTGGAGAGTGTTACAGCATCCCCCTTATCTGTGGGGGTCATCCCAAGTCATCCAGTGGATGCTTGAGACCAAGCATTGTATGCAACTTAATATGTACTATGTTTTTTCCTATACATACATAGTTGTGATACAGTTTAATTGATTAGGCACACTATGAGAGTAACAACAACTGATATTGAAGTAGGACAGTTATAACAGTATATTGTAATAAAGTTATGTGACTGTGGTCTCTTTCCTTCTCCAAGTATGTAATTGTACTGCGTTTGCTCACCCTTCTTGTGATCATGTGTTGATGTGATTGTGATGGTACAATGGCACCTGTGATGAAATAAAATAAGGTGAATGATGTAGGCATTGTCACATTGTGTTAGGGTCCTGTTAAACTGCTTCAAAAGGAGAATTGTCTGCTTCAGGAGGTCCTGAATCTTGGAGCTGTGATGATGTTGGGTGGGTCATATATGTATTGTGGACATGTTGGACAAAGAGATGATTCCTCACACCACTCGGAATGGTATACAATCTTTTTTTTTTTTTAAGAATTTTCTTTTTTTAAAATTTATTTTATTTATTTGAAAGAGTTACAGAGAGAGGTAGAGATAGAGAGAGGTCTTCCATCCTCTGGTTCACTCCCCGAACAACTCCCTGCAATAGCTGGAGCTATACTCAGCTGATCCGAAGCCAGGAGCCAGGAGCTAGGAGCTTCCTCCAGGTCTCTCACATGTGTGCAGGGGCCCAAGCACTTGGGCCATCCTCCACGGCTTTTCCAGGCACATTAGCAGGGAGCTGGATGGGAAGTGGAATAGCTGGGACTGATACTGGCACCCATATGGGGATGCTGGCACTGCAGGCCAGGACTTTAACTCACTGTGCCACAGTGCTGGCCCCATGGTATACAATCTTACACTTAGGAATTATTATTTTTTTCTGGAGTTTGTGATTTAGTATTTTTGTACATTTTGATTAATCATAGGCAACTGAAACCGCAGAAAGCAAAACTGTGAATAAGGGGAGATTAACGTGCTATTAACTCTGGAAGGGACTACAGAAGTATATTTATTGGTGGGGTAAATGGACTAGGGTCTTTGTTTTGGCCTTATTAACTTGGAAAATACTTGGGAATTCACTAATTGATTTTTTTGTTCCATTAAAATACATTCATTACCTTCAAAATGTCCAGTCCTCAAGAATAGACATGAGAAATAATTTCTTCTCAGAATGCTTCCACACTCTTGGAAAGAAAGACAAAGATTAATGCACACTTAAATGTGCTATTATAGGGATATCCATTTGGTTCAGTGGTTGAGGCACCACTTGGGATACTGTGTCCCATACTGGAGTGCCTGGGTTAGTTAGAGTCTTGGCTCTGCTTCTTCCAACTTCTGGCTAAAACTTATCCTGGGAGTCAGCATGTGATTGCTCAAGCACTTAAGTCTCTGCTACCAATGTGGGATACCCAGATGGAGTTCCACGTTCCTGACTTTGGCCTGGCCTAGCCATGGCTGTTGTTGGCATTTGGGAAGGGAATCAGTAATGAAAGACTTCTTTCTATCAGGAGGATCTCTCTCTCTCTCTCTCTCTCTCTCTCTCTGTTTCTCTGTCTTTTGTCTCTCTCTATGATGATTGGTGTTTCAAACATGATGATGGTACAGAGGACAGACAAGATGTGTCATAGATGATTACATTATGATATAAAAAAACCTTTTTAACTTGGTGACTGGTTGGATGTGAAGTAAGATGATACTAAGATTTTAAGCTGACTGGGAAAATGGTGCATGGGACAGAAGATAAGGATGGAAGTTTTTTATTTGGTAGGAAATGATGGCACATTCTATTTTAATTTTGATGGATTCTAAGTGAGATAGTCAAGTGAAATGACTAGCAGGGGATTTAGAACTAATAATTTAGAGACAGGTTTAGGCATTATCATAGAAAGGTAGAAGCCTTTCTATGATAGAAACCTTTCTATGGTAGAAGCCTTGGTAGATTTTGATATCTCCAAGTATGGCCAGTAGTTCTTGGCTGTAGAAATCTGGGAAGTCAAAAATAATGTCATGGTAATAGTATCTAGACATTCTGATATCTTTGCCTATGCTTGCTTTGTAGCAAATCTGCAAATAGTTCCAGGAATCTTTGAAGAACATTGTTCCAGGAACTGACTTTTGCCTGGTGCTTGCCATTTTTCTCCCTTCAGCCTTAGTTGCTGTGGTTAGGTCTCCTCTTGCTGCCACCCTTCCCCTCTGTGAAGGTGGAAAGCCCCAGTTGTTTGGCACTTTTTCCATGACTACTTCCCATGGTGTTATCCTCACAGCGCCAATAGTGACGGAACTCTCTTAGTTGTTCTTATTATTTTGTCCCACTGTTCTCACCTTAGAGCTCACACTTGTATCCATGGACTTTGTCTGCACTTGTCAAATGTAGTTGTATTGACCTCATGGTTTCCACATCAACGTTTTTGTGCCTAGACAGTTCTTGACATTCCTCTGACTTCTTATACAACATGTTTCTGAATTTAGACTCCATCACTCCTTAGGCACAGCTAGACTTGTGTGAGTCTGAGGGTGAAGGCCACTTTTAAGGCTCAAATGTGGACCAGGACCTTTGGAATGTGCTTCTTTGAGAAAAGAGAGTTTAGGGTCATCCCTACATTTTTTTTTAATACTATCCCATCACTTGTGTCTTCTCCTCCCTTTAGCTCTTCATATGGTGCTTTCCTGGTTGATTTGAGCTTATTTGCTCTCTGCCCCTAATGGGACAGTGATGTGTCCTGCTTTGGAATTAGATTCCTTCTCAGTATTCTGTTCAGAGGTTTGAATCTTTTCTTTCTCCTATTTTTAATCCTTCCTAAAGCTTTACAACCTCTTTACTGGAGTTTAGTAAAGATTTGAATATCCAGCACATTTTCCTTTCAAATAAGTATTGGTAATTTATTTTTTTTCTGGTTCATCTGTGAAGAATCCCAATGAGCCTTTTTGAAAACTCATCATTTGCAGTTACTTTAGAACAGCAATTTATTGGCAGACTATATTAGAAATGTTTTATTGCACTCTACTTGAGCCATGAAGTGCAAAGAACCATGAAGATTGAAAAATACAAATGATAGATGTGTCTTCTTTTCCAGCCTTCTTTGAACCCTGGGGGAAGCCAGTCATCTGATGTGGTACTTTTGAACCACTGGAAAGTGAGGAATTTTGAAGTACAACGCGGCGACATTGTATCATTGGTGTGAGTAATTCAGAAACTTCCCATATTTGTATATAAAATTATTTATACTTATGCTGATTTAGCTGGTAATCCACTGTTAATACAAATTGCAAATAACCGTGGTTTTAAAAAATCAGAAAAAAATATGTTTTGTTAACAATGGTATGAAAAGATCTTCTTATATTTTAAAAATATATCAGTTTATTGACATGCTTGGATTTGGCAAACTGTGTTTAATATAGTGTTGATTGGAAATTATGCTGTGGTACAAAATATGTGTGTTTGGTATTCCTTTAGAATATTTTGAAATTTTGTGTGGTAAGCAACTGTGAGGCTCTCCCAGTGCTTTCTTAACTTGTACAGCTAAACTATGTTGGAAGATGGGGATTACAACATCAAAGTCAGTGCCACTGTTTATATATTAGGAGTTAAAATGAAAAAGGTTTGGAAGACTAGCACTGGAGGCTTTGTTTTGGGACCAAAAGGTGGCACTGTTTCTCTGTTAAAAATACTGTGACTGGTCAGGAACAAAAATTTCATTCCAGCCTTAGCCATGGTAGAGGAATGTCAAAGTGTGCATAAGTGACATAATGATATAATGTTTAGTCCTTGTACATGCTTGAATGGTTTACATTTGAGATGTTTGTTTGTTTTAAAAGTAAGTTCATACAGAGAAGACTGCAACAGAATTTGCCTAATGTCTTCTGGTTTCAGCTACTTACAAAAATGTGTTTGTTTGATTCTCTGTTAAGCCAGTTAGTGAGCTGGGGTAGCAAGTAATGTAGCAATGTTACTGCTGTTTGTTTTAATGGCTGTAAAAATCTAAAGTTGGGTAAAAGATTTTTCAGAATATATTTCTTATTGATTGGAATGATTTTTTTTTCTTTTTTGGGTGATAGTTTATATCTGTTTGGACAAGCAAAACATTATCTACTTGCTCATGCTTAGCTTTGGGTCCTGCTTTGTAGAAATAGATATTTTATCCAAGTGTCTTCTTCAAGATTGTTGTACCATGGTTCATTTGAAAATATAATAAGCAGATCTGGTTAGTAACAAATGACTTAAATAAATTTGAGTGGAGTTTTGGATGGCAGACATCCAAGGATGGGGATTAAATGCTTCTCAGGTTTTGTGTGCTTTCTTTAGTATTAACCTACCCTTTGGGGTGTTATTTTTTGTCACTTTATTTTGTCATTCAGAGTACTATCTTTGCAACCACCTTACCAACCTTTTCCATGCTGGTTTAGTCTGTCCTTTGCTCATTATTCTTTTGTCTTTGGTTTGACAAGGTTATGTCCTCACTTAGTCGGTGATGGAGCAGACACCCACCTAAGTGAAAGAAGTCACCCTCTAAGCAGACAATAGTGTGTTTTTTTCTCCCATGAGAAATCATGCTGGTTATCTCTAAGCAAGTTAATTTGAATAGATGATTGTAAAGTAAAAATCTGCTCCTTGAGATTTAGATTTGCATAGGTCCATAAAACTACTCTAGCATATCATGGATAAATGTTGAAAAGAGAGCACTTTTCTTTTATGTAAATATTAAAGTGATTGACATTAATTATATAAATTAATTTCCAAGATATTATTTCAAAACTGGGATTGATAGAATAAATTATAATGTTCAAATTGAACTGTTTCAATTTCAATTATGAGCTAAATTTTTGTCATGTATCAATAACAAAATTTTTTTCAGAATGCTTGTTGCTAGCAGGAGCCCCTTAGATAAAAGAAAGCTTAGTGATTTGTATGTATTATTTAACAACAAATAATCATTAAACAATATTGTTGCTTTTTTTGAAAGAAAGTAAAACCCCAACATTCAGTTCTTTAGCATAATGTAATAGTATAAAAGTCACTAAATATCTTTAGTTTTATGAGCAAGAATGCTTTCCAGAAATGTTCTTTATGTTTTTGCACAATTAATAGAGGGCTTCATTTTTAAAAATTGATGCTTACATGGCTAGTGTTCATAGTATATAAGTATCATTGAATATTTGTTTTTCCTACAACATGCATCAGTCTGGTTTTAATATAGATGACAATTTTCATTATTACATTGGAACATCCTACCTATTTAAGAAATATATGACTAATATAGAAATGTAGGTCTGAATATTAAATTTAAAGCTAAATCTCAAGTATGATTTTCTATTTTATTTAGAAATTGATATTAATATTTTATTGGTACAAGTAATCTTTGGAAACAAGATAGTATGGAACTTTTACATTAAAAAAGTCCTGGCATAGCTTTTTTTGTACTCAATATGTGTGGGAACACAGCATTTTTCCTCTAATATTTAAGGAAGGTTTGAGGGCAGAGAAATGTCATTAGAAGTTGCAAGTTGAAAAAAGCCTGTAAGCTTTATACAAAATATACTGATAACCAGAGAGGTATGCTTCTCATTGTTTTGTGTTACTTTGTTTTATTTATTTGTGTGTGGTGAGAGAATTGTTGATTTTATAATACTGATTCCTTCGTAGCCTCCTGCCATTAGTGCACCTGGCCTTTAGCTGCTGTTACTGATGAAACTAAATATTAATGATCTTTGGGGAAAAAAATCACGTATGAATCAAAGTACCTTCTGCATAGTACTGAAACCCTTTCTCTACTTGTTTCTATGGGCTAATTTCTGTTATAGGAACACAAGTTGTACTATAATAGACAGCCCCTCCTGTTGCAAGAGGTTTTATCTGGAGCTTGTTGGCTAATACTTTCCTGCTGCAGAGAGGCAGGTATATTGAAATGTGCTTCTTTGCATCTCTCTTTTATCTTTTCCTTTCTGTAGAAAGTTAATTTCAATGTAGCTATTGTTTCAGCATGTTATTGAGTAATGTTAATTCAAAAGGTATTTAAGAACACTTTAGGTCACACAAAATATGATTTGCTGTCATTAAATCCTCAGTCTTACTGAATGGATGTAGTAGGCAGTGTACTCTCTTAGTGGATTTGCAAACTAATAATAGTGAAGTAGTGATTAAGGTGAATTTTCTGTACCTTGGAATTGACTTTTCATTAACCTGTGCAATGGCCTTGCTGCAATAGGCTTAACATAAGTGGCATTATTTCATAATAATATATCACTTAACAAGTCGGTTGGGACAGACTCATAATGAAGCTCCCAATAGTCATATTTAAAAGTGTTTTAACTTTCTATTTTTAAATTGTATTATATATAAAGAAAAGTTCTAAATATACTATGGAGAACCCATATAGCCCCCTAAAATTAACATAGAACACAATCACAGTATAGTTATTAAAACCTGGGATTGATATTAATGCAATATTATTACTTAGTCTATAGACCTTATTCAAACTTCACCAGTTTTCCAACTAATGTCCTTTTTCTGGACCAAAGTTCTACCCAGGATTCCACATTTCATATTTTATTTTATACTCATCTCCATTCTGTGACAGTTCCTTGGTCTTTCTTTGTCTTTCATGACTTTGACATGTTACTTTGTGGAATGATGGTCAACCCTAAAAAATCTTGAGGCCACTGAATCTTCTTGGCATTCATGGTGGTTGTTGAGGAAGTGGTGGTAATGGTAGCAGCTGTCAGTGAGGTAGAAACCTGCGAAGTAGACAGCTGGGCTAGCTAGGGCAGTGGGGCAGATGAGGGCAGAGGAGAAGGTTGTGGGGTCACTCTGTGAGGCACAGGTCTTTTTCATGTTTTGGGACATGAATCAAGACTGAAAAGTTCAGGACGTCAAGAAATAAGTCCACCCAGGCAAACTTATGGATGCAGGGAAGGAGAGCTGTGCATTTAGGGAAAAGGCCATGGTTTATAGCAGAGGAGAAGGGAAGGAAGAAGGGCTGGATTGCAGATTACCTACATTCAGCTGCTGTGAAGTGTTGGAGCTGCATGTTAGGGTGAGAGATTTTTTATTTAATGAACACCCCTGAACGTTGGCATTAGGCTAAGTACTTTGATTATGCTATTTTATTTAATTCTCATGACAGTATCTGGTGACAGTTATTTTTAACATCATGTAGCTGGGATTAAGAGCAATTAAGTGGCAAGTAAATAGAAGAACCAGAATTTGAATCCTGGTCTCCTGGATTCTATGCTGTCATGTACAACCCAGCAGACACATGTGGTTATTGAGCATTGAAATGTGACCACTGCCACTGGTTAAAATGATAGTATTTTGGATATATTCAGTCAAATACACGTGGCACATTTTCACCTTTTTTTCCTTTACAAATGTGGTTAATAGAAAATTTAAAATTATAGAAGACATGTGTTATGTCCCTACTATGTCTAAACTTTCCTTTTTATTTTTTAAAATAATTCTGCATCCCTAGAGTGGGTATAAGGTGAAGGAAATATCAAATGGAAAATACTCAGGTCGTTGCAGTGCAGCACAGGCAGACAGTTGGTAAAGCAGTTGGCGAGGCAGTTGGCGAGAGTGTTGGTGATTAGATCCAGAGCAAGGGGAACAAGACATGCAATCTACAAAGAGTAAAAAAAAAACACAATGGTTTTAAAATATTTATTGATTGCTTTTTTTCTAGTCATTTGACTAGGAGTTCTGTATTTATATAATCCTGTTGAAAACCTGTAAGGTAGATGATACTGTTATTCCTATTTTGTAGACAAGAACACTAACACATAGAGAAGGTAAGTAACTTGCTGAAGAACATGATAAGTAAATGGTGGAGCAAAAAGGTTTGAAGCACCACATGAAAGCTACGTTTCTAATGATCATACTGCAGTACCTCTGTATATTGTAGTATAATGATGTAGCCGATCAGTTTACCCATGTCAGCAAAGAAGACACGCGGACTTCGGTATGTTCACATCTCTCATTTTCTTCCCATTTATGCAATTTCTGATACAGTGGTTCCTAAAATGAGTTCTCGTCATCTAGCAGTAATGCTTCTTTTTTTTTTTTTTCTGTAGCACAATTCAAGTTTATTCCATTTTTTCTTGCAACACAAAACTTTAACACAGTATTATTTAGCATTCAGATGTACAGGAACTAGGATACTCATGAAAGACCCAATTGTGTCAAAA